AGACTGTCCAAACAGAGTGCATCACCACCATAGTAGTTCCCCATTTCAAGGGAGGCTCAAGTTGTAATGCGGCAAGCAGACAGGATTCAGCCTGCATCCAAAATCCCTCTAAATTGCTTGCGTTTTCGTTCCCCACAGGTTGTCTGACACTCGTAAAAGCCGGATACGCTAGCAGCAAGGATGCAGTGACCTCATGCTTACTTTACTGCAATTGTTATATTACCGCCATCTTTACTGAAACCCACCGTAGTCGTGTTCTTCGACAATAATTATGTCTTCACTCTGGTGGTTCCAAGCGCTCTTCAGCACTCTTCTCATAAAAGATGAGCACGGCAAATATGTAATTATCTTAAGAGTGCTGTACGCGCACAGTTCGGGCAGTGAGATTTTACGGCAAACAGCCGCAGGGAGGTGAGATAAGAATACCCTCTGTTATGTTCCTTTTTAGGATTAGGTTTTGCTGGTCATTATCTACAAAGCGTAGAGTCGCTTAATGGTGAGTAAATTCTTCAGTTAGTTTATGCCGACAACATTGCCCTTGCCTGTGACAGCTTTAAAACGTGCTAACAGCATCTGACGGCTTGGCACTGGCTGTCAGTTGCTTCTGGAAAGGCCTTGCAAAGTCTAAAGGCAAAGTTATTCTCCGACATTGGTACAAATCCGTCTGGCGCAGATCATTGGTGGTCGGTTAGAACTGGTACGGAAGTTTGAGTATCTAGGCAGCTGTAGGAAAGCTTGTGGAATAGAGGATGTGGTCACCAAATGTATGGCAAAACCTCGAGAAAATTTTCCACTTTCTACTATTTGTAGCGGCGAAGCGACATCATTCTGACCTTGAAGGGCAGAGTTTACAATGCAGGCTTACGTACAGCCTTCTTGCAGGCGTGCGACACCTGGCCCATCAGCTCCATAGACAAAGAGGCTAGTTACTTTTGATCAACACGGCCTTTGTGGCTTAGATCATGTATAGTGAAAACACCGCGTGAGCCATGATTGTGTCCGGTGTCACGTACTTGATGCAGGAAGACCGAATGACGCACGACCACGATTTGGTAGGGAAAAGAGGATGATAGGACGGGCGATGACTTGGTCAAGTGCAGTGAAAACTCTCACTTCGAAGTCAGCTTTAGTTGCTGTGTCAGAAAACGTACACTGTGGGGCTGTAGCAGACTGGAGATTCCCGCAGCTTGCCTGCATAAAATTCTAACTAAAACTATGATTTAATTGTGCACTTAGACGACCGGTGCAGTGTGTTGAGCTGGTTGTTATGTTTGACCGCTTGTGTCGAGCATCGCCATTTTTACTTGGCATTCAGTTCGGTCGCCAGGCGCGATCACTCCCGTGTGTTGTGTATTTTGCATTCCACTGACTAGCAGCATTCGTCACTGTCGTTTGGTATATAGAGATAAACAGGAAACCTTGTGTCGCAAAAATAGAAGTTTTCCAACAACACGATCTGTTGTCTAAAATTTGTATCTGAACTCCCGCTAAAGAGCCTGAATGCGATGAACATGTTTGTTTGGCTACACTTGTTGGTATAGCGAAGCGCCAAACTCAATGGCTACTTGCGTGTGCTTATCTTTGTTTCTTACCATCCCACTTTGGCTCCTCCACGGAAATCGACTAAAAAGTACTTGCGCAGTATGCTATTTAATATTATAGTACTTACATTTTAGTTCTTTCCCGCTGAAACGGCTATCGTTTCATCCTTCAAATTACTGCACTTTGGCTCAGCTGTTTTTCTTACCCTGAGCTACGACCAATTGTTTATGATGTATTTTTAAATTAAGGGAGTATTATTGCTGAGGCCTCGGAGTCTTTGTATGCACATCCTTGTAAGAAAATTCTAGATCCACGTCATGTATGACAAAATTCTGTTTTGAGATCTACGTTTTGATGAATTATTGTTTTTCCCAAGTTGAGCTCATCCGCGGTGTTTTTGGTGCTTCGTATTTTACTAGTGGTCTTCAAGCAAGGCTAACTGATTGTACTGGTAGTGGTGGCAGGTGGTTTGGTTTTGTCCAGTTACCTTTGTATTGGTCTTATTTCATCTTTATTCTGCGCAGTTGCTGCCATTCTTTTGAAAAAATGTTTGAATTACTCTACTTGCTTTTGGTTGTATTTATTCTTCACTCTGATGAGTCCTCTTCAAATGTACCGCTGGTAATTTAAAAACACCAATTTCACAGTATTATACATGTCGCTTGCCATTTTGAAGATATCGTCGATGTAACTAATGTGGCTTTCTAAACCTCGCATGTGTTTGGTGTGTCGGGTTGCGTTTCTTGTTGCCAGGTAAGGAAAATTACATCCTTCGGGTACGGAACTTATTTTAGAAAGTTAGATAAATGGTCTATTTTTTCCTGCTTCAACACCAACGTGCTGTTCCGTGATTGTGCTCTTTTGAATCCTTTGCACGCAACTATGCTTATGAAGTGTATGACATTTTTCAGTCACTTTGAGAGTTGATACGTATGTGCTGATATTTGAGCGAATGTGACTTCTGGTGGCCCAACAATAATCCTACATATAAACAGGTTTGATAATGGAATCTGCGTATTTCTTTTGTATTTACTGACGAACTGGATGTCACCGTATAAAAGTCTGCCCAAAGTTTTATATTTGTTAATACCAAAGGCTTGGTGCCATTTGCATCGAGTATCCAAAGTGTAATTTGGGGCTTTTAGTACAAAGTTTTAGTTTCTACGACCATACCATGGTTACAAGTCCATGGAGATCAGTGATTGCACTAACATACGTATTATCTGCTTAGGTATTTGCCACTTATAGCAAAATGTTAGTTAGAAACATCTCCAGCGTCAATTATATTGTTGGTTAGACGATACATGTTCATTTAGTAGAACGGCCGATGTTGGTTCCGCTAGGTTGATAGCTTTTGAGGTGAGAAATGTCCGCAATATAAAAACCATTACCGCGTCTTGTCTTACACTTACTTTGCGTTATTTGAATAATTGTTCAACCAAAATGACCAAACTCCTGGATTACACACCTATCTTTCGGGTGTTTTCATAGCTCTTTTACAACTCTGCAATTCGGGGAACCAGCCAACCACATGATAGAGTGGACTAGTATTTTACTTTTGTGTACGTAAACAGACTGCAAAAACGCAACCTTAACAAATTTTTTAATTTCATCAAGCCTGGTTCTAATCTTGCGATCTGTCGTACTTATTTCAAACAACCCAGAATGTATGTCTTGTCCCATTGTTATCGCCTTCTAGGATCGTCTGTTATCTCTTAGTGTGGATTACCGTTATCAAATAGATGGTGCGCTTTAATCAATCAGTCAACTTTGTCCAGCAGAACTGTATGCATCTTTAGTTTAACGTCAGAATGCCGCTGATTTCATCATGGTTACTTGCAGTGACGTTAAACACGCTGGTTTCTGCTCCATGACTGGGCTTTAATTTGTTTCTGTGTATTATTACATGTTGAGCTTCAAGTACGATCTTTAATGACATTAGTGTTAAATAAGCACAGTGAAGAAATGCAAGAAGCTTACGCATTTAGCTTCGAGTTGTTTTTTCAAACCTTTATTGAACCGTTTTTGGATACTTTGTAATACACCTGTTATCATTTTTAGTTAGTTTCGTTTGCAAAATTAAACCTAACCAATCCACTAAATTTCTTTAGGAGATGAACTTTGTCTTGTGTGCATAGATGACTAGCGCTTTTCAATTATTCAGTTACCACGATCTAATCTACGGTAAGGAGATTACTAGTTGTGAGCGATAATCATGAATGTGTATGCCTGCGATTAACTAACGCAGATTTTTATCCTTGTTGTAGCACTTCTTTTCAAGCCAATGGATAGCTTAGTGGAGCGCGATAATGCAAACTTGACTGCGACTTGCTAAGGCTTCGTAAAAAAGGTAGAGCTACTCGTTAGGGAAGGAATGCTGGATAGCAAAGTTTCTCAAATGGAACCAACCTCGCCTACTAGATATCTGAAATGATGGTGACGAGTGTATCAAGGTATTTACGTCCGCGTGTTAATTACTGTATAGCACATCGATGATTTATACCGGTGCAGTACGTCCAAGCCAATCACAAATAGCACAGACTGTACTGTTACACATGGAAAACGATAAGAATTTTACTATAAATGTTATCAAATACTCCACGAACAGTATTAAGCAAGCCAATTAGCTGAAATTTTACAAGTCCGTCAGACGTGACCTTGTAGTTATCCTTCTCAATGAGGACCACAGTTGTAAAAAAAACTCGTGGACTATACCGCGCTAACAAAATAACGACGCATGTTGAATGGCCACAAACTGCTGCAATTCAGGCAAGTTACCATCATTGACCAATAATAAACATGCTCAGAGCAATATCATGCATTATTATTCTACTAATAATCAAAACATAGTATTCATGGTCATTTAAATGGATATAATAAGTACCTTTGTGCTCTATTAGCGGTTTTTGGTCTTGCGTATGTCATACTTTAGCCAACTAAAAGATGAATACCTATAGTCGTAACCAAGTGAGCCACCTTACGTCGACTTAACACAACTAAACTAGGTGAACAGTCGCACCAAGCGACAACAAGAAACAGTGATTAATATATTTGCTACAGGACACTAAAGACCGCTGTTCTACTTACTCTACCTTGTAGCGACCAAAAGGATAACCACCATCTTTTATGTGCAATTTTCTTGCCGAGCAACTTCACACCATACTTTCTTTTTCTAATTAATCTGACACTACAACCAGGATGGCCTACATCTGCTTTAACACTTTGGGCTCGGTGAGTTACAACACTGACTTTCACTCTTTGTCACTTCGTCGGCGTTCATTGGGTTTTCGTCTATCTTAGCTATAGTCCGCTGTGCTCGACCATGCTATTTCTGCTATCGGCGCTCGATTACGCGCATCGTACTTGACTAGTAAATCCTGGTACCAAAACCATCCTCTTTACTATCTCTTGGAAAGGCAAGGGAAGAACCATGTGAAAGTTTATCATATATAACGTACCTGAGAATGTCCTATGTAGGCCAGACTTTTTGTTTTGGTAGTAGATAGAACGTAGTTGATAGAGGCTGGCAAATCATAATCAGCCATTTCATCCCAGGAAAAGTCCCAGTATGATTGATCGTCAGTAGTGAGTTTTGCATGTCCACGAGAATAATTAGTACCCCGACTGTTCCCGAGCCAAACATCATATCCAGCGTCGGCCAAGATGAAGCCTAAGCTCTGGTTTTGCAGGTTATTGACCCAGGTATGAGCGTTATCAAATAAACCATGCTGCAAAAAGACCACCTTATTGCCTTAAACAAATGCATCAGTGAAAATACATGTATTACCTTCACGAAATTTACTAGAGTTCTGCATTCGGATAAGACACAGAATATAATGATCCTCGGTTGTAACGTAATGCTCTTCTGTGTAATAGCTGTACAGTTGGATGATTTTGGTCTAAGGAAAAATTAGCCTGGCAAATACTTACAATATTCATCCACACCTCAGGATCAGTTGTCGGTGCCTCTTGAATTAAAAGAGATCCATTTTCTTTGTCAGGAAACGGGTGCACGAACGACGATAAGCAGAAATGGGCGAAAAAGAGAAGTAGCTTCTGCATAGTCACGAGAATTGGTGTAAAGGTAGTGCAGCTGGCCTAAAAATTTGGATTAAAATGGGATATAAGTGGCGATGGATAACGCGCATTGTAGCAGCATTCACTATAAAAGCGCTATTGTACAATATTTTATGTATTCTCAGAGGTGCATAAAAACGATATGGGCATGTAACTGGCGTACACGTTGTAAGGTATCCGCAATGGAATTATCGTTTCATTTGGTTACGGAGGGGTTTGTGTCTATTCGCAGTTGTTTTGGTTTTGTTACGATGGATGTGGATGACAAAGTTGCGTTTCTTGCTATGATTCTTGGTCTGCATCAGACACTAGACAAAGTTGTGGCGTATCGTACACTGTTTCGTTTACAAACAACTACCTGATCTTATAGACACCATGTTTTAATTGGTAGTGCGTACAAGATAAACGCCGAAATACAAATGCCTGCTGACATTCGATGGAAATAGATTTAGGATCCTTGTGTGTAAAAACGTAACTGGCTCCGTTTTGTTACAGAGTCGCACACGTCTGACATATTTGTTATGTTACTGACACACAAGAAGTTAACTTGGGATCACCGTAACAACTGTTGTGAATGGAGTCGCGAATGTTGTGTCCGGTAATTTGTGAGGTTTCTAAGCTATTACGGTTCATACCTGGGAATTTATTAGCACCAATTTGAGCGTCTCTCTGCTTGTCCTTCCTCAGAGCGATCGTTCGGCTGTAACGTATGTGTGCAGTACACCAATCAAAGCAGCAGGCAAGCGCCTTGTTTCCTACATTCATATGCCTCATTTTCGTTGTCGCGTACCTGTTTCATTCAGTAATTATTGTGTGTCCCCTACTTGCAACAAATGAGTGCATATGATTGATAATTTTTCCTTGTTTTCGCGTTGCTTATGAGCTTTTGCAACACATCTTACTTAGAGCAGCATATTTGCTTTGAACGTCTTATTGTCCATACGCATCATAAACGATGCTCACCTAAAGTAACATCCTGCACTACAGTTAAGCTTAGGAACCCTATGTTTTGGTTCCCCTGCCGGAACCTAAAACGACTGCAGTTAGTCGTACCGTCTTCAACGTTAATTTGTTCCCGTGCCCTTTTGTGTTAGTCAGAGTTTTATTGTAAAGGTTTTAAAGTAATTTTGTTGAAATGCTTTTCTAGTAGACACTTTGGTACTACTGTATTTTCAGATAACCATCGTATCATTGATCGGAGGACCTGTACTTGCTGCCTGCTGTAATTTAACAGCAACTGCTCCACGCAAAATTCTGCAAGACTGAAAGGTGGCAGCTGCTGTCCTTGTCAACCGTATGGATGACAGCCGTACTTAAGTTACATTAATATGCTTGGAAACGCTTATGTTTACAATATTTGAGGTCACTTTGTTGCTCGCCACTTAATACGAAATAAAAAGCATGGCTTCCTGTAAATAATGTCATAAGGCATCAAGGTACTTAGCTTTATAAATTAATTTGTCAGCGGTCTGCACGGAGACATATTGATAGACCTCTGTCACCCTGCACTTCATCAACCCGTGGTGACATCAACGAATGATTTCTCCGTTAAGCATACTCTCCGTATTGGGTATACTTGCCGCTACTATTTTGCACAGCAGCCGTTACGACAGAAGAGTCCTCATGTAGATGCGGATACTCCGGACACCTCGATCAGCACCACATTTGGTCAACTGTTCGACTTCCGTCCAATGTTGTAGGTTTGTTCGGACACAAGTCCAACGGACACATGCTGATACGCTTGCTGTCAGGATAGTCGCAGGTACCGCACAAAGTTGTATTCCCTGGGCTCAGTCCTGCACCCCCTATTATTCAGTATACATATGCTGTGCATTAAATATGGCTTATCCAGTGAACGTCATTTTAAGCTATACATTAAGCTTTCTTGCCCTTAACTTATGCAGTGTTATGCCGGTAAATAAAATACTGTTTCCCGGCTATGGTGCGGTATTTAAGGAATGAGGTCTTTTGAGTATTGAAGGTACAAGAATGTGTTACTGGGATGATTGAGGACAAGCGCAGCACTTCATAGCATGGACGCATTTGAGGCCTACGATTACCTTCCATGGAACGGCGTTTACAGAACCGACGTTATAGCAATAAGTTTCGTAATATATATATATATATATTTATACGTCTGCCTGAGCGTTGAGTGTTCTTGCAGTTCAAGGATAAGATGCTGATTGAGCTCCCCGGTGTAGCTGCGCCTGATGTAAATTTATATAAAGTGCCAACCTGTCTACTACCCACCACTTCGTCCATAATGACTCCGAGAGACCATTGGCGTTTGAGGGACGGGATCGAGTGCACCGTCCTCGTGGTGGTACTAGGTACAAAACGTGGTACCATACTCTGTGGAACGCGCTACGGCCCATCAACCGCCTTGGGTACGTCTGGTATGCAAGATCTCCCAAGGAGTTGGGAATGCTTCTGTTTTGATTGTTGAAGAAGTGAAGGTCGTCTCCGTTGATGAAACGTGGCTTCCCTGCGTATGCCTCCCAGTTTTATTCCTTTTTGTCAACGCCTGATATGGTGTGTGTATGTGTGTAGAACTGTGGATGGTGCAGCGCATGCCATCCATGGTCCCTCTATATGCGCAGGTGTCCTGTGGTTGTCGCCGTGGAGGCCACAGTAACAGGCAATTCCGGACACGGTAGCCGCCAACCAAGATGTAGTTGACATGATAAACAATTAGATTAAAGGTAACATTTGGCTAACCTTGTATGAGCACATTAGGATGTAAAGGATCTATGTGTATTATTAAGTGTTTTGTAAGCGTAGGTACGTTTGCAACAGACTGAGGACATTACTGTTTCGGGAATAGCGGTATTCAGTTAAATGAAATTTATAATAGGTTTTACTTGCAAATCCGGTCGCACGATGCAATTGTAATGGCGTTAGTAGGCAAAGACACGTTTTGCATGTATAAAATAGAAATGTTGCATTAACTTTCTTTCTCGTCGCTAAGCATTCATCTGTTGCCTATGTTTACTGATTTGAACTTTAAGCTGTTTTACTTTGTATACGTTAGTTATCTTGGTGCACATTTACTACTAATATACCACATGGTATCATTGTTTGTTTAGACATGTGCTTAATATCTTCAATCACTGAGTTTGTTAATAACCAGCAGTTTTATTTCAAATACAAGCTTTTATATATTATTGGGAGGCTCCACGAACTTTATAGCGTCAAAATGATAATTACTACCTTTTATCACAAGTTTGTTGCTGACTGATGGTAGATTATTTTTCTGGTTTTTATATTGCTTATAACCAGCTCGACACTCGTCTGCTCTCAAAGCTATCGTGGAAATGTTTGCTCCTGTCTCGCTCCTTCCGTCCACGTCTTTTTGTTGATCATAGAAATATTCTGCTGCGACACAATTCACTTGTCTTTTGATACCTGTGTTCAATTTCGAGAACCGCCTTGGAGTAGTCTATACAACTACTTACGTTGCACTTACGCTTCTACCAGAACTGCTATTAAACTAATACCCTTATTCGTTCCTACGCTCCAAATGCACAATTAATTGTAGTGCAATTCAGGCAAACAATGCAACCATTTTATTGCACGTTACAGAAGTACTGTTATATATTTCATCCATGCTTTCCGTTATGGTAAACATACATACATTACAAGGATTTTGCAGCAACAATAACGGACGCGGAGTAATGATGCATTTCTCTATTTAGCAGTGCCGTAACATTAAGCCAACTATTTACGTACCTGCGCCTTGCAAACCAAAGAACAACGCTGAAGCACAAATGCAGGCTACTGATTGATGATAGCGGCTAATATAGTCATTTCATACTGCCGCGTTTGATCTTACCTTGTCTAGAGAACCTTGTGCATGCAACAAAGTTCGCTATTTCTGCCAGCCAACTATTTATAACAGCTTATCAGTTATCGAGTTTAGACTAAACTGCTTACACTATAAAATGTTATGCATTATATATAACTTATTGATTTTTAACTGGTCCACTTCGCGTAGACTCATGGGTCTTTTCGCGGGTCCGGTCCATTCCTGCCTCCCCGTTATTTGCACAAAGCGGAGGATCCGGACTCTCCAAGATCCAATAGGTCGCAACAGACCTGCGGAGTTGGAAAGAGAGTGAAGACCACGTATATCCCTGCATAGCGTTGT